AAACTTTTGTTCATTCTGGATGTCACACTATTCCCTAAGCATAATAAAAGAAAAATTTTCCGCGTTTTTGCATTTTTCAAAATTCGCCAAAATTCGCCACGACTTTGACGCCAGAAAGTGCGGCAAATAAGCGGTTTTGAGGAAATTCTCGTAAATTTCTCGCTTCTGGAGGGCAGCACAGGGTTTCGCGTCAAAAAAAAGCGATCTTTTCTGTATTTTTGGGGATTTTTGGTCAACGGCCCCCCGGAGTGTCGACTCTTCCCACACAAGTTGCCTCGGCCCCCCTCCACACAGGGAAAAGGCTCATTTTCAACGTTTTTTCCTTTCATTCTGGAGTGCACCCTGCACCCTAAAGCAATGCATTTTCTAAAAATTTGCATTTAAAAATTAAATACAAATTTTAAATGCAAATTTTAAATTACAAATTTTAAATGTAAATTTTAAATACAAATTTTTAGTGCAAATTTTAAATGCAAATTTTAAATGTAATTTTTAAATGTAAATTTTGAATGTAAATTTTAAATACAAATTTTTGAGATTTTCAATACAAATTTTCAATCGAATTTTAAAGCATTTTTGCCTTTTTTGAGGGCACGGAAATTTCAAAGTTTTTTTGGATTGCACGGAAAGTTCTTTTTAACGGAGTGAATAGCTTACGTAGCTATTGGGTCTTTAAGGGGGAATTTAAGACTCGCAGGGCCTCACGCAAGCTTCGCGCACTAAATTTGCACTAAAAATTTAAATTCTTGAAAATCACCGATTTTTCTCCAAAAAATTGCATTTTTGCATTTTTTTTCGATTTCCCTCAAATTTTATTCAATTCTCTCATGCATTTTTCCTTTTCTTTTCCCAGAAAGTAATGAAATTTTCGAAAAAAAATCGCCTACCAAATGTTGGTTTTTGAATTTTTGAACAAAAAAAAGAGGAAAAAACGAAAATTCGAATTTTAAGACAAAAAATAAATTAGCATTTAAAAATGGAAAAAATTAAATGCAAATTTGAATTTGCATTTATTGCATTTAATTTTTTGACGGAATTTGATTTGCATTTAATTTGCATTTAATTTTTTGGGTTTTTAAATTTTCGAAATTTTTTTGAATACAAATTGCACTCAATTTAAAGCCGCCATTTTGTGTTGTGCCTTCCAGATTGAGCGTTGGAATTGAGATTTTTTCGAATTCGCTCAAATTAGACGAATTTTCAGCCACCAACAGGTTCGGGGCAGTGATTTTCCAAAATTTTGCTGAAATTTTCGAATTTTCTTTACAATTTCTGACTCGGCGGTTTCTTTTTGAGCCAGAAATTCTCGATTTGCTGTTTTCCCCGGAGATCTCTTTCATTTTTTTTTTGTTTGGCGGTGCGGTGAAATTCGATCCATTTTGGCTCTTTAGCAAGAGGTGAACCTCGAAAAAAAAGGAAAAATCTCCGTTTTCACCTTTTCTAAAAAACAGATTGACATGTGTGCTGTCCAGGAAAAACGAAAAACTTCAAGAAAACGTTTTCCCGATTTTCTTTTGCCGCTTGACAGCTCGTGTTCTGTTCTCGGCGCCAGAACATCGGTTCCTTTAACGAGAAGTCGGAAAACTCAACTTTTTCCGCCATTCTGGAAGTCAGGACGAAAGAAAATTCGGAGAAAAACTCGAAATTCCGAAATTTCAATGTGGCGCAACTGGTTAGTGCTTGGCGTGCCGCGCCGAACCATCCGGGTTCAATCCCGCCCTGAAATTTTTTGCCTCTTAGCGCTCTTTTTCTCAAGTTAATCGACTTTCGTGATATCCATAATGAGCCGATCGATTGGAAAAAATGAAATCAAGTGCTTAATTGGGGGTTTAAATGGTGTCAAGTCGTAATTTTCGAAATTTTCGCAGAAATGGTTCCATTTTTTAGCGGAAAAACATCAAAAATCGTTTACGAAAGCGTTTTCGCGGGGAACTGGCGAATAAAGAAGGTGTTTTTTTTGGAGGGAAACTGAAAAAAACCCGGTTGTAATTTCTTGAGAAGTCGGCATAAAAAGCCGAAAAAAATCTTAAGAAAAGGGTTTTTTGAAAAATTTCTTTCTTTGCAATTTCTTTGCTTATAAATGAATTCTTTGCATTACGTGACCCCCAGATTGGTTAGATTTTGATTTTAAAGAAGAATTCCTTCAGCCAGTTTTTTAGAATCTCAATGAACTCGAAAGAAAAGTAAAACTCGTTTTTTTTCTTTCAAAATTTCCCATTTTTTAACGTTTTCACGACAGCTTCAAGCATTTTAAAGCAAAAAGAAAAAGCTTTTCTCTTTTCTGCCTTTTTTTTAAGCTCAAAAAGAAGCAAATCGCATTTGTTTCACCCCGGACAAGCGAGTGAATCGAGCTGAGGCGGAAAAGTCGGCTTTTCGCTTGGGAAAATGTGACTTTTAAAGTTTGAAATCGCCATCCTGGCATGCACGGAGACGATTCGTTGAGTTGCGCTTTCTTTGGGAGAATCTGGGGAATTTCGAATTCCACCGAGAAATGCGACGAATTTCATCCTCGCCTAGAAACACGGGAAATGAAAATCCAACGAATTTCGATAATTGGAAAGTCAAAGCTGGAACGCAGTGCACTTGAATTTCACTCTTTGGTGTAGCTCATTGGTAGAGGGCGAGCACGGTATGCGAGAAGCCCCTTAAAGAGGCCCGCGAGGCTTGCGAGAGGCCCGCGAAGCTTGCGTGAGGCCCGCGAGGCTTGCGAGAGGCCCGCGAAGCTTGCGAGAGGCCCGCGAAGCTTGCGTGAGGCCCGCGAAGCTTGCGTGAGGCCCGCGAAGCTTGCGTGAGGCCCGCGAAGCTTGCGTGAGGCCCGCGTCTTTTCCCCCAAAGTCCCAAAGCCGTTACTTTCACTCCGTTACTTTCCGTGCACTCCAGAACAACGTTACTTTCCGTGCACTCGAGAAAGGCAAGCTTTTCGAGAAAAGGAAAATCTCAAGACTCGGCCAAACGATCAAATCAAATCAACGACGAATTTCGAATTTTCGAATTTTTCCCAATTTTCTACCCATTCTGCTCATCAATTTTTCAGCAAAAACACTCGATTTGGTTGTTCTGGAGTTCACGGAAAGGCTTTGGGGAAAAAGAAGCGCGAAACGTTTCTTAAGGGGCTGAGATTAAGGGCTCGGATCAGCTTACACCGGTAAAAGATTCAAAAGACGCAAAAGACCCAAATTCCCAACTTAACCCCAAACAAATACCCCAAAATACCCCAAAATTTGTGCCATCTGGAGGGCACACCGCAATTTCCGCTAATTTCCGAAAACCTATAGACATAATGAAGTTTTCCGTCGGCACTACGGTAAAGTAGTTAGAGCCAACTACAGTAACCAAGGACTTAAAAATGCAGAAAATCTAAAAACTCTAACATTCAACAGCTTACATGACTTCCAGAATTAGCGTTTCTTTCAAAAAAGTTTCTACTTGCCTTACTCAGAAATGAGAAATTTCGTCAAAATCGAACAATTGCGTAATTGAACCATCCCAAATATGTAAATTTTCGAAATTTCCTATAAATTAAACTAAATTTGAATAAATTCTAATCGAATTCAAATTTGCATTTATCTTTTGTCGCTTTTTGTCTAGAATTTTTGTAGAAATGAAGATTTCAGCTTCAGAAATGAGCTTTAGACAAGAGTGAAAACTCTGAGCGATTTCCCGCTCGCTCGTACACATTTCCCCGACAAGACCCACATTTTCGGTCAAGCTGGAACGCACACGAGCATATGTCGATGTTTGTAAAGAGGGTTTTCTTAAGGCTTTGAGATCCAGGGTTTAGGGGTCTGGGGGTCTTGGGTCCCGGGGTCCTGGGGTCCTAGGCTCCACCCTCCCCCTCCCCCACTCACTCAATTCCACCCCTTTCCCCTCTCTATTCAATTCCCTTTCTCTCCTCCAACAAATTGCCCCTCCCAAAAGGTGGCAACTCGGCAATTGCAGCTTCTCCCACTCCTTTTCTGGTCGACTTAACCCTCCGCATTCTTTCACTCCCAAGTTCCCCGAGATTGGCCGCACCACCAGTCGAATTTTCTCTTCATTCCATCCCATCTGGAGCGCACAGCACCTCCTGAAGCCATTTCCCAGGCGATTCTCGACATTTCAAAGTTTCCCCTATTCTCACCCAAGCCTCGTCCATTGTCCATTGACTCAATCCATCCAGTGGCCCCCAATTTCTTCGGAACAAATTCTTTCCCCCACTTCTGGAAGGCAATTGGCTGGCAATTGGCTTTTGAAAGCATTTGCACAGAGATTTCTGAGGTTTCTCGGTGCTTGACGGGCTATTCTCGAATCACCTCAAATTATTTTTTGACAATTGAATTATTTTCAGTTGAAAAGCTATTTTTTGATCATTCTGGAAGTCACGAGAGGTATTAAAAGAGATTTGAGAAAAAAGAACTCAAAAACTTGCCCTCAATCGATTTGACTCGCTCGCTCGGCACGTTCAACGTTCTGCGTTAATCCTTGTGACGAATTTCTTCTCCGGAACTTCTATTTGAGCGTTCTGGACATCACAGAAGGCTTTTCTCATAAATTTTGAGGACTTGAGCAAGAGAAAAAGGGAAAAGTTTTGAGCAATTTGAGCAATTCTGCAACAATCAGAATTTCGACACTTTTCTCCGCTAATTCGTGGCGATCGTTTATTTTTGAGTTGAAATTTGCCAATCCTGGACATCACGAAAGGCTTTTATCATCGATTTTGAGGAGTTATTTAAGAAAAATTTTTTTGATATTATTGAGCTATCATAGCGAAAAGTCTGATGGAATCAAGTGAAGGAAATCTAGAAGCTCATCAGCTACACAACGATCCTATGAGCATCGAATCAAATATAGAAGCTCACCAGCTACACAACGATCCTATGAGCATCGAATCAAATATAGAAGCTCACCAGCTACACAACGATCCTATGAGCATCGAATCAAATATAGAAGCTCACCAGCTACACAACGATACTATGAGCATCAAATCAAATCTAGAAACTCGTCAGCTACACAACGATCCTATGAGCATCGAATCAAATCTAGAAACTCGTCAGCTACACAACGATCCTATGAGCGTCAAAACTGGAGATATAAGATTAGAGAAGCCTCAGAAGAAGATCTCATTTATGGAGAATGTAAATGAGACGCCAAAAGACGTGAGAGAGGAGTTGATCAAATCGGCAGAACCAGAAAGCACAACCTCGTCGCGGAGTTTCTCGGTTTTTGGCATGAATTTCAGACGAGAGACAAGCATTACGATTGACGGGGAAACGAAGAAACAATCAAAAAAGAGACGCGCCACTACGATATCCACACTTTTCATGCCACTCGACACACACCGAATATTCGCCGCCAAGATGAAGATCAATAAGTGAGTTGGGGTTCGAGAAGAGATCTCATTTTAACTCTACAATCTTTTCGTTTAAACAGATCACAAGTCTAAATAAGGCCTAGGATTTGTAAGCTAAAGCTGTAAGCAGTAAGCTGTAAGTCAAAGCAGTAAGTCAAAGCAGTAAGCTAAAGCAGTAAGCCAAAGCTGTAGGCTAAAGCTGTAAGCCAAAGCAGTAAGCCAAAGCTGTAAGCTAAAGCTGTGAGCTAAAGCTGTAAGTCAAAGCAGTAAGCTAGAGCTGTAAGCTGATTTTTAACTCTGTCTAAGGTCAGACTAAATTGAAATCTTTTATAGCAAAGTTCAGGTGAACTTGCAAGCCTTGAATTCTAGTCGAGGCCATCCAGCTCAGAGTTTGATTCATTGTTCTGATTCGCTAGAAGATCTGGAAGAGCTAGAGCTAGAGCTAGAGCTAGAGCTAGAGCTAGAGCTAGAAAAACTTGAGCTCCGGATTCGGGGGGATCAATTGAAACTCTAGAAAAGAGTGAGCATTTGGGCGTCCAAAGTGTTCATGGCTATTCCCAACGATCCACAAATAAATCTGTTTTTCTGAAAAATCTAATTAATACAAATTTTTCACTGCTATCCAACTAAGCAAAAATAAAAGTTTCATTTGAATTTGTTGACTCTAAAAAAAGTTAATGAAGTCAACTGGTTTCTAGAGGATTTTTAGCAGCTTTTGTCAAATTTTTCCTTTTAATTTGCCAACAAACTGTTGCCAACAAACTAACAAATAGCTACAGCTACAGCTTAATGACTCTAAAGACTGTAGGCTACAGCTGTAGGACCTGTAGGACCGAAAATACTCATCCTAGTCTACGCTAGCTAAGCCTAGAGGCCAGGCCGCTAGTCTAGAGACCAGCCCGCTAGTCTAGAGGCCAGACCGCTAGCCTAGAGGCCAGGCCGCTAGCCTAGAGGCCAGACCAACTCCAAGTTGGCCTCAGAACAGTCTAGCCAAACTTTGCCCAGCAAAAATTAAAAACTTTAAGTCCAATCCACAATCTAAATCCCTGAAACCCTGAAATGCTATCCAGAACCGCTGAAAAGTTATCCCGAAATGCAGCCAGACTCACAGAAATCCCCAGACTCACAACGATCCCCAGGGTGCTACTAACTCCTCACCCCACCCCACTCCATCCCCTTATCTCTTATCCTTATTCTTTCAATGTTTCCCCACTCCCATTCTCTCCAATGACCTCCAGAAACCAAAAAAAGCTTCACAAAAACAACAGAAACTTTGAAAAGAATAGACAAATCTCTTCAGAGTCTTCTGCAGCCTTTTTGTCTTCTCCGGCCTCTCCCCCCCCTCCCCTCCCCTCCCCTCCCGACTGATCCCCTTCCTTTTGTTCTCCCATTCATTTTCAAACATTCATCCTCTTCCCATTCATCCAATTTTCACATTACTTACGAAAACTCAATATCTAAACATTCATTCTTTTGTCGCAGTGTCGTCATTTCGTCGACGCTACGACTTTGAGCGATTTTCTCGGCAACAAATTATCCTTTCTCTGCAACTCCGAACAAAACGGTCAAACTGGAAAGCACTGCAGTTAATCAGCTCAAAAAAAAAACAACTTGCAAGCTTGTAAAAAAAAATTTCCCAAAATCGGCTCAGATACGTCATTTTCGATTTTTTTTTTTTAAAAATCCCCCCATTTTCTTCGTTTCGTTTTTTTTAAAGAAAAACTCATCAAAATCGCCTCAAAGATGCGCCCAATCGAATCCATCTTTCCACTAATGCAAAAACTAAAGAAAAGCGCAAAAAAAACTAATTACTTTCGCAGGGGAATTTATTTCCTCGAAGCCGATTATCTGAATCTCTCTTTTTCTCGAAAAATGTGAACATTTTATTTGAAAATCTCAAAGCTTTTGACTATTTAACGCCTTATCTAGCCTTTTTGAGTGAAATTTCTCTAATCAGAAAGTAAAAGAAACCTGAGAAGGACTCGAACTCGACCCCCTCCCCCCCGGCCGTTCGCCTCGTAGCCAAACTCGCTAACCACTTGGCCACCAAAAAATTCGCATATTTCGGGATAATTCTTTGAAATTCGTTTACTGTGAGGTCCAGGATCGTCAAATTTATCGGAATTTCGGAAAGAAAGCTTTTAATTTTTTTCTAAAATCGCTCAAAGTCCTTTCAGCGCTAGATTTTCAAGGTTTTTTTGATTTTTTTGATTTTTTTCACTTCAATTATTCGAAATCGATTTCTTGTACCTTACAAAAACGTTTTGAAGCTTTTTTCGAGTTTTCTCAGAAGACAGAGAATTATTTACCGACTCCGACTTTCTTGAGGGCTTTTCTGGATACTTTTCGAGTGGATAAAGAGGGACGAAGAAAGAATTTTTGAAAATCTCAACTTTAAAGCGAAAAAACCCTTTTCCATTAGCTTACATGACTTCCAGCATTCATGATTTCAACAAAAAATCCGGTTCTTTTACCGGTTTTTGTCGAGTTTTCCTTTCAAACTCGCATCTCGATAAAAATTTTCGAATTTTGATGAAATTTGCATTGTCTAGCATTTCCAAAATCTTTAGTGAAACCCAGGATTTGCATTTTTCAAAATCGAAATCAAATTGATCAAATTGATCGATTGAAATCTTTCGTAAAATTGTTTTAAAAGGATTTGAAGGGATTTGCGAGAGATTGATTGGTTTGATTTGATTGATTTGATTGATTTAATTAATTTAATTGATTGATTTAATTCATTTAATTCATTTAATTCATTTAAAGATTGCTTTAATCAACGAAATCTTTTTCTAAAACGATCAAATGACTTCCAGAAGGGTGAAATTTTGCAAGAAATTTTAGAATGGTTTCCACGCGATCACTCTCGTGGACGTGCGTTCTCGTGCAACTCGTTTTGTCGTGTGCGTGCTTGTTGGGCTCGTTGGGTGTGATTGCTGCGATTCTCCAAAGCAAGAGCATCTATCCGGAAAGAGATGGAACACCGAGGTGAATGAATGGGGAAGATGGGAGTGGGGAAGATGGGAGTGGGGAAGATGGGAGTGGGGAAGATGGGAAAGAGGGAAATAGAGAAATAGAGAATAGTCATTATTCAATAAGTGAATGAAATAGTGTACCAAGGTCCATCATTGATCTCGAACATGACTGGAATCCCATTGCGAATTCGTATATTCCCAACCCTTTTGACCTCTAGAAAAGGCTTACCACCAAACCCACCTACAAGACTAAAAAAGATGCAGTGGGGGAACTTTATGAGTAAAAGCCAATTTGCCAATTTTATCAAAGCCAATTTTTGATCAAAGTCAATTTTTGTCGAATTCAATCGACAAAAAACTCGTTAAAAACTAGAATTTCTCTTTTCAGAAACTTTTAAATGCCCTTAAATGTAACTACAGGTGAGACTAAGTGATAGGTCGTCACTTTTCGCTCTCCAGAAACGCCTCCAGAAACGCCGAAAATTCAAAATTTTATTTTGAAAATTCCCAATTTATCAAAAAAGACAAAAATTTTCAAAAAAAAAAAATCCCTTTTTTCCCTTTTTAAAAAAATCCCTTTTACCGTAATTCCCTCAATTTCTCTTTTTACAAAATGCTAAAATGCACTCCAGGGATTGGTGAATTTCATCGTTTACTCCTGGACGTGTCAAAGTGACGCGGCACAATACAAGTGTTGCTGAAGAACACTGAAGAAACGGAGAAGGGAAACGAGCAAAAATTATCCCCCCTTTCCCCTCTTCCCCGTCCACTTTCTGCACTCCCATCCCCTTTCTGCATTTCATTTGCCAACAAATCAATGACCTTTTCCCTCGAAAAACTTCCGTGTCCATCCCGGTTTTTGAAGCTTTAACGACGACGAACGAAATGAACGGGAAAAAGTCCAACTGAATCCTATTGACAACTAGATGTTTCAAGTAGCTGGATACGTAGTGTGATATCCAGGATGTAAGAAAATAAGATTCGATTGGGTTTCTGCTAAAGTGCCGGCCGATTTTTGATTGGGTGAATGAACCGGGGAAAGTCCGACTAAATCCTATGGACAACTAGATGTTTTAAGTAGCTAGCTATGTAGTGTGATATCCAGGATGATTAAAAATCGAGAATCCAGAGTTAGCCTAAGCGAGTGATCCTTATTTTCAATTGGGTAAATGAACCGGGAGGAAAAGTCCAATCGAATCCTATCAACAGCTAGATCTTTCAAATAGTTAGATACTTAGGGTGATATCCAGAATGCATAAAAAGTGTAACTACAGGTGAGGCTAAATGATAGGTCGTCACTTTTCGCTTGGGTAAATGAAAATATCGAAAATGAAACGAAAAACTCTTCTTAAATAGGTCGATTTTCAGCATCGAATGGTGGCTGCTTTCGCTTTTGTGCCTTTTCATGATCGGCGCCTCGATTTTGGCGATGTTCGGGTTGGCGGCAAAGAACACGCAACTCATTGTACCGCATATCGTTTTGCTGGTAAGTGTCGACGATGTAAATGGGTTTAAATGGAAATCTGGGTTTAAATGGAAATTTGAATTTAAATGCAAATCTGGCTTTAAATGCAAATCTGGGTTAAATGCAAATTGCCTCTCGCGCACATTGTGAATAAAGTCGAATTTTCGAATTTCTTCAATACGATTTTGATTCCTTTTCCAAAGCTCCTAGTGACCTCCAGGAGCACCAAATTTCAATTGCGCAAATGCGACAAATGAGTTTTCAACGAAATTTCTCGACCCGGACCTTTCAGTGTCTCGACCGATAAACAAAGAACACAGAAATTTGTTTTTAAATTGTTTTCCAAAAGTTTCTGTGCTCTCCAGGATTGGCGAATTTTCAAGGGCCGAGGCTCAGGCTCAGGTCCAGGCTCAGGTCCAGGCTCAGGCTCAGGCTTAGGCTCAGGCCCAGGCTCAGGCTCAGGCTCAGGCTCAGGCTCAGGCTTAGGCTCAGGCTTAGCCTGAGCCTGAGCCTCTCCAGAATTTCCAATTTTCCCTCAAAGTTATTTAATTGAAAAGAAAATTTGAGAAATGACAGTGAAAATAAATGAAATAAAATGCAAATTGTCCCCATAAATTTGCATTTATCCATTTTCCTGTCTCGATTTGCATATTAATGAGTGCGTAAATAGTAAATAGCCTCTTCTCTTCGACGGTTAGCCGATAATTGTCATATTTGAAAGTTGAGCATTGTGGGGGGCGGGAGGGGGTGGCGCGGTGAACGGATCGGCCGCTAATCCCTCGGAAATGAGGTGCTGGTCGTTAGGGGGAACCGTTTCAAACTCACTTTTAGCCATCCTGGATATCACACTACGTATCTAGCTATTTGGAACATCTAGTTGTTGATAGGATTCGTTTGGACTTTTTGTCCCTGCTCATTTACCCGCTTGAAAATAACGATCACTCGCTTAGACTAGCTCTGGATTCTCGATTTTTAATCATCCTGGATATCACACTACATAGCTAGCTACTTAAAACATCTAGTTGTCAATAGGATTCAGTTGGACTTTTTCCCGGTTCATTTACCCAATCGATACTACGGCGCGAATCTCGAGAAAAGCCGTTGAAATCGAATTTTCTTGTATTCTGGATAGCACATTACTGATTCGACGTCACAAATTGTTCAACTTTCAATATAAATTTTCTTTTCAGGGTCTGTGTTCGGTTTTTGTCGGTTGGTGTCTCTATCTCGTTTTCTCGCAAGCCGATCCATCAAATTTCAATTGGTGAGTGGGGGAAAAGGATGTTTTTCTGAATTATCCATAGAATTAAACACTTGAAATCTCTATGAAAGCTCTATGAAAGCTTCTCAAGTAATGCCAAGGCTTTTCCCGTTTTTTTAGCTTTTTTCTTAAAATTGAAAGTGCTTAAAATTGAGTTAATTGAGTGTAAATTGTTTTTTAAATCGACGATTTGATTACAGTAGTTTCTCTGGAAGCTTTTAGCTCACAGTAGCTTTTAGAGAACGGTTTACAAAAGCCCGAAAAGCTGACTGAAGTGACTGAAGTGACTGAAGTGATTGAACTGACTGAAGTGATTGAACTGACTGAAGTGATTGAACTGATTGAACTGTCTGACTGCTGTCTGACTGCTGTCTGACTGCTGTCTGACTGCTGTCTGACTGCTGTCTGACTGCTGTCTGACTGCTGTCTGACTGCTGTCTGACGAAGTGTTGCTGATTGAACTGTCGCTGATTGAAAAGCTGAGCCTTTTAAGGTTCAACTTTTAGTCGTAGGTCTGTCACAAGAGATTTAATTAAAAGCTAGAAGCCTAGAAGCCTAGATAAGGTCACGAGAATTTGGAAAGTTGATTTTGACAATTTGGAAAGCTGACTTCGAACTTGTGTCTGTGAAAGCCTTGAAAAATATAGATAAGCTGCTACAGATAAGCTTTACTTTAGACAAGCTTTGCTTTAGACAAGCTTTGCTTTAGACAAGCTTTACTTTAGACAAGCTTTGCTTTAGACAAGCTTTGCTTTAGACAAGCTTTGCTTTAGACAAGCTTTACTTTAGACAAGCTTTACTTTAGATAAGCTCGACAGCAGAGATCTTCGTTGGCTTTACTCTAAATAATAAAGCAATGAATAAGAATAGCCCTACCGCTTTCCCCACTAATCTCTTCGCCTATCAATCACCGAAAAACGATCTGTCCCTTTATTCTTTTTCTTCTACTTCAAATTGAATCGAATTCCCTTGAAATCTTTTGGTTGAGATAAGCTGAAGAGATTGGTTGGTTGAGATAAGCTATATAGCTGAAGAGCTTCAGCCTCAAAAGCTGAGCCTTGAGGCTTTGAGGCTGTCGTAGGTCTGTCGTTCAGTCGTAGATCTGTCGCAAGAGGTTTATTTTAAAAGCTCGTCTTTCAGGTGGCTTTCTTTGGGTGCTTTGTCGACAGCAGAGATCTTCGTTGGCATTTCATTGCTTTTGGAGGTGAAAGTCGCGTTAACAGTCACTTGATAAGCAGGTAAATAATCTTATAAAAAAGTTTTATCAAAAACTCGAAAAACTCTTTCCAGTTCGATCAGAATGGCATCGTACGCGGCCGAGAAAATCGAGGAATCATCGGTGAGTTTTCTGCAAAGTTTAGCGTTGATTTTGAATTAATGAGAACGCTAGTGTACTCGAGGATTGAATAAAGGAGTAAACATTTTGTAAACATTTTGCATTCGACATTTGAGAATTCGAGAATTCGACAATTTGACAATTCGATAATTTGACATCAATTCTCTAGCTTCTCTAGCTTCTCTAGCTTCCCAGACATCAATTCTCTAGCTTCTCCAGCTTCTCTAGCTTCCCAGACATCAATTCTCTAGCTTCTCCAGCTTCTCTAGCTTCCCAGACATCAATTCTCTAGCTTCTCCAGCTTCTCTAGCTTCCCAGACATCAATTCTCTAGCTTCTCCAGCTTCTCCAGCTTCTCTAGCTTCCCAGACATCAATTCTCTAGCTTCTCCAGCTTCTCTAGCTTCCCAGACATCAATTCTCTAGCTTCTCCAGCTTCTCCAGCTTCTCTAGCTTCCCAGACATCAATTCTCTAGCTTCTCCAGCTTCTCTAGCTTCCCAGACATCAATTCTCTAGCTTCTCCAGCTTCTCTAGCTTCCCAGACATCAATTCTCTAGCTTCTCCAGCTTCTCTAGCTTCCCAGACATCAATTCTCTAGCTTCTCTAGCTTGTTAAGTCTATTTTTAAAGCATTTGGGAAAAATTGATGATTTCTTTTGATTTCTTTTAATTTCCTTTCTCTCAATCTACTGGAAAGCAAAATATGATATTTACTTTATGCTTCTTTGTAAACGCATAGCCTCTAGCACACTGACTTTCGCAAATTTTCTTGATATAAAGCCGACGTTTATAGCTTTTTATAGCTAAAATCAGAATTTCAAAGTGTGCTAGACAGTTGGCGTTTACGAGAAAGCACAAAAAAGGCTCTGGAGCTCGGGCTTAGAGATCTACACTACTGGAGAACGAAATATGATATTTTGAGAAAAACGATCGTCACTTTTGCGCGTCTACAACTCCCTTGTCTTTACCGTATTTCGAAATATAAATATTACCATTGTGTAGCCATTGAAAAGAGCTTTCAGAAAATGTATAACACTACGAGTTTAAACTCAAAGACAAGGGGAGGTTACAGACGCGCGAAAGTGACGATCGTTTTTCGAATATCATATTTCATTGTCCAGTATTTGTAGCTATAGTTAGCTTTAAATAAGCTAATAAACTATGAAATAAACGATCTGATAATGCCATGAAGTAAACCTGGAGTGAGCATTGATGACGTCATCGATCGATGAGTGTCCCCGTTTTGCGATTTCTCCATACCCTGATGCTGAAGCACATAGGTCCAGAGAGCGGATTTGCCCTTTAAAAACAAAAAACTTTCAATTCAAAAACCCCGACTGACATCCAGATTGGCTAGAAATCGTCAAAAAAAGCTAGCTTTTCATGTAAAACTTCGAGTTTTTGTTGTGAACCTGTTTCTTGATGATCCCATGGCTGAAAACTCGCAAAAAAGATCCAAAAGATCGCCAAAAGCGGTAATATTAATATTTAGAAATACGGTAAAGACAAGGGGAGTTACAGACGCGCGAAAGTGACGATCGTTTTTCTCAAAATATCATATTTCATTGTCCAGTACCGTACCATTCAGAATTGAGAAAAAAAAAAAGAATCAAAAATTTTGAGCCTCACGCCGTGCTCGCCGCTGAGATGATCTACTTGATTGTTGGCGTGACCGGGATCGGAATGTTGCACGGATGGACGGAGGGAGTCGTCTATCAACTCCAAGAATACTATACACCGTTGTGAGTTTCAGATCGAGGAAAAATGAAAGAAAAAAAAGCGTGAAATCAAATTTTGAGCACTTGGATTGATTTTTGGTCGAAAAAAAAGGAAAAATCTTGATTTCTCAATTCTTAAATTGTCGATTTTGTGAAATCTTTTCGAGTTTCGAGCTACCTTAAATACTGTAATAGTACCCCATTCCCGTACACTCGTACAGTACAGAATCGTACAGTCGCGTAGTCGCAAAGGTTTTTGTAGTATTTCATGCTTTTTTTCAAAGCACCCGTACTTTCAAAAAATGCGTCTTTGGTATCAAAAAATAGCTGAAATTGAGGGCTATTTTTTGATATTTAAACGAGCATTGTAGCATAAACCAGTATCAAGAAAAACTCGTTCAAAGCTAGCCTACGCAACACTCCGCACCGTCATTATGCGGCTGGGGTACTACCGTATTTCCTCTAATAAACGCCCCCCCCCCCCCTTGACCAACTTTGGACGCTTCGTTCTCAGCTCCATTTGGAGATATTTTTATGTTTAATATATCAAAAGATAGAAGACATTAAGGGCTATCTTTTGATATATTAAACATAAAAATACCTCAAAATGGGGCTGAGAACGAAGCGTCCAAAGTTGGTCAAGGGGGGCGTTTATTAGAGGAAATACGGTATTACAGTATTTATGGCGGTAAGTTCATTTCCAGAAGGGACAAAAATTGAAAGAAATCGTAGAGAATTGAGGAAATAAGCCGAAGAAATGACTGAGAAAACTTTTCCCGAGTTCTGGAGCTCACTTTAAAAGTCAGCTAGGTGTTCGAGTTGTGTTTGGACAAAAGCCTAGTCATAGCTCGAAGTGATCTGTCATCGGTAGTAATGACAGATCACTTCGAGATCACATTAGACATGACTAGGCTTTCCCCAAACAACCCCATCACCTAGCTGCCTTTTAAAGTGAGCTCCAGAACTCGCGAAAGTCTCCTCAGAAATTCGAAAACTCTTTTCCAGATGGACGTGCGCTTGTCTGATGGTTCTCCTCTTGCTTCTCATCATTTCGCTCTTTTTCGTCTTCATTTTTCTCTACTGTAATCAACCGGGTGTCATCACGCATCACTGTGTCGCATTGGTCTGTTTTTTGTTCGTCCTGGAGGTCACTAGTGGTACGGTAGCTTTTTGAGCGCATCATAGCAACAACTAGCAGCAAGGAGTACGGTAGCTTTTGACCACCCTATAGAATTCAGGCAAATTCAGTTGTAAGTTTACATAAGAAATGAGCTTTTTGTTCATCCTGGAGGTCACTAGGGCTACTGTAGCTTTTTGGGCACGCTATAGCAACATTTGACATTAAGGGGTACGGTAGATTTTGTCACCGGACAGAATTTAGGTAAATTCAATGGTAAGTTCACATAAGAAACGAGCTTTTTGTTCATCCTGGAGGTCACCAGGGGTACTGTAGCTTTTTGGGCACGCTATAGCAACAATTAGCGGAAAGGAGTACGGTAGCTTTTGACCACCCTATAGAATTCAGACAAATTCAATTATAAGTTTACATAAGAAACGAGCTTTTTGTTCATCCTGGAGGTCACTAGGGATACTGTAGCTTTTTGGGCACGCTATAGCAACAATTAGCGGAAAGGAGTACGGTAGCTTTTGGCCACCGTATAGCATCTAGATTCCTCTAAGTGTATGCTCAAAAATCAGACTCATTTCTCATTTTCCGGTTTCAGTACGTCTCGTGGCCGCTCGCATTGGCTTTGCTGATCGGAGGGCTGCTAAACGGTGGGCCCTTTCTAACGGCTACCGTGCTCGCCGTCTATTTCACCGGTCTTCTCGGCTTTGCCTACATCTACAGCCAAACGCAATGGATTTCCACCTACGATCCGCCGGTGGCCTGAAGAAAAGCCTCGACAGCCTCGACAGCCTCGACAAAATCCCGAAAAGAAAAATTCAAATCCGCAAATTTTCTCTCGAATCTCTATAGAAATTAAATTTTTTTTCGTAATTAAAAAAAATTTTTAAAAATTTGAAATTATTGATTTTGACTATACCGATTTCTAAAATGCCCTCCAGGATTTACGAATTTCAAATCGAATAGCGTTTTTGAAGATCTAATCCAGAGAATTTGAGCCAGTCCTGTACTCGGTCTATTCAGCTCATTAAAGAGCTTTAATCATTAAAGAGACTCGAGTTTCTGAATAAATTCTAAAGTGCGCTCCAGGCATTTCTAAATTTCATGCAATATTTAAATAGCTACCCGGTGCAGAGATTGCGGTAGTTGGGGAAATCGCGTTCGAGTGTGCCAGAGGGCGCGCGTTTGCAAGAGCACAAAACTCGAGCAATATTTGCGCAAGTTGGATGTCACTACACTCAAATAACCGCTTAAATCAGTAAACGTTTACTTTCTGGCAAACTCTGACGAAACGTTGAAATAGGTTCGAGTGTGCCAGGGGGCGTGCGTTTGCAAAAGACCAAAGTGAAAGCGATATTTGTGCAAGCTGGATGTCACCACACTCAAATAACCGCTTAAATCAGCAAACAGTCACTTTCTAGCTAAACGGGATTTTGGAATCGAGTTCAGGCGTGCCAGAAGGCGTGCGTTTGCAAGAGCACAAAACCCGAGCAATATTTGTGCAAGCTGGATGTCACTACACTCAAATAACCGCTCAAATCAGTAAACGTTTACTTTCTGGCCAAACGGGATTTTGGAGTACGAGTACGAGTGTGTCAGAGGGCGTGCGTTTGCAAAAGCTTTAAGTAAAAGCGATATTTGTGCAAGCTGGAGCGCACTACTTTAGCTGCATACTTTAGAAAAACGCATTAGTGTGTGTTTTTGTGATTTTTTTTTTCAATTTAATTCATGCTCAAATTACCTCAAGAATTTCGAATTTTTCTTTTCTTTTCACTTAAAATTTTCAGCTCAATTTTCTTGTGTGTTTGTTTTTTTCGATTTTTATTCAATAAAATCTTCGTGTAAACAGAGAAATGAAGAAAATTGACGTACTTAGACGTTATAGTACAGTTATGTAATAAGGATTACTGTAGCTACGTGTTGGGGCTAGTTTTTCGAAATTTGAGACTATAGCCACTATTGATTTAAGCTGAATTCGTCTATCTGGATGTCACACTACAATTTCTATAGCTTTACTATGCACTATCTCTGTATACAGCGATGGGATTACTGTAGCTACGTGTTGACGCTAATTTTTAAAAATTTAAGACTATAGCCTATAGAGATTTAAGCTGAATTCGTCTATCTGGATGTCACACTACAATTTCTATAGCTTTACTATGCACTATCTCTATATACGGTGATGGGATTACTGTAACTACGCGTTAGCATTAATTTTTAGAAATTTAAGACTATAGCCACTATTGATTCAAGCCGATTTCTTCGATCTGGATGTCACACTACAATTTCCAGTACAGCACAGGGTTTTGGAGTACAAGGTGCGCCATAATTGTCGCAAGAAGGTGTCGCAAAGTCAATTCCGATAACTTGGCTCTTCTCAAGGATCAACTCTTGCCCTGGGCTCGTAAATATTTTGAAAATCGCATTTGGACTTATCAGCAAGCTGCCAAAAATCCAAGAAAGTTCAAGAGTTCTGCCAAAACAACTTTCAGGGCTTAATTTCCTTGTCTGAGTCCCTAGCTAAGTAGAGGACCTAGCTAGGCACTCAGACATTGGTTTGAGGTCTGGAGTCCTCAACATTGGGTTGAGGACTCCAGACCTCAACCCAATGAATTTCTGTGATCGGTTTTAAGAAGCCAAAGTTTGTTCAAAGTCCTACAAAAGCATGGAAAGCTGGAAAATCACTGTGGTGGGAAGGGCTCGATGCAGCTTTTAACATCGTTGACACCTTTCCGAAACGCTAGCCAGCCTGCTCAAATGTTAATGGTGGCCAAATTTGATATTTCATTTATATGTGCAGCATGTGATTTAGTTAAAAATGTCTTTTTTTACTCTTGTCTGCGTTAAAATGAGGACTTTATCTTGTTGCGACAATTATGGTAAACCCTGTAGACAATTATGTACGCCTACTTGATCTCAATCTCCACCTCCATCTCAATCTCCATCTCCATCTCCACCTCCATCTCCACCTCCACCCCCCCCCCCTCTCCATCTCCATCTCCACCTCCATCTCCATCTCCATCTCCACCTCCATCTCCATCTCCACCTCCATCTCCATCTCCACCTCCATCTCCACCTCCACCTCATCTCCGTCTCCACCTCCACCTCCATCTCCACCTCCATCTCCATCTCCACCTCCATCTCCATCTCCATCTCCACCTCCATCTCCATCTCCATCTCCACCTCCATCTCCATCTCCATCTCCATCTCCACCTCCACCTCCCCCCCATCTCCACCTCCATCTCCATCTCCATCTCCATCTCCATCTCCACCTCCATCTCCATCTCCACCTCCATCTCCATCAAAATCGAACTCTATCCCAAACAACTTCTGTAAGCTGAGCTGTAAGCTGAGTTCTTTAAGTCCAGTTAAATGATATTCGACTCAGCTAATGTCAATTTAAGAAGTCATTTCTATCATTTCTATTTCTAGAAACATTTCTATTAAATATTAGAGTTTAAAAGGCATTTAGAGAAGCCTTAAAGTTCTTTTTTTATTAAAGATTCACTTTTCACCAGTTAGCATTTATTTTTTTTTCAAATTCAAAAACCTAACAAAACTATTTTCTCAAAGCCTTCTGTGACATCCAGATAGCGTGAAAATAAATGTAAATTTGATTTTAGCTAGAATATATGCAAATTTTTGCCGACAATCAAATTTCGCTCATACACTTAAGGGAAAATGTCGAAAAAATAGTCTGAATTTCTTTTCAAAACTCTTCGTGACATCCAGATACCCAGAAAATTTGGTTTTTAGATTTTAAAAACGATTCCAGCGCCTGCAAAGCGATCCTCGCACAACCCGAACAACCCAGTCAAAAAAAGTTTCCCCAAAAATCATTCCCATGCAATATTTCGTCGGTGTGACATCCAGATTGCCGGGAAATTTGATTTTTGATCGATTCGCGATGAGCAAAACGCGATTTATCACCGCAAACTCGATTCAGTCATTCAACTCGGGGTTTCTACGTGAATTTTGGCGAAAATCTTTGTTTGTGTACTTTCGTATCTTTCGGGTAAACAACGAAAATCGTTGTTTACCCGAAAGGATCGCATTCTTTTCATTCTTTCTTATCGTCAGTTTAATTTTTAAAGTCAAAACTGACAGCTATCGGAAATTAGAGTAGATTCGATTTTTTTCGGTATCTGGCAAAAGTTAAGGCTAGAATTTGACCGACTTGGCCCATGGCCACTTCCTTGGCCTTGACTTCCTTGGCCACTTCCTTGGCCTTGACTTCCTTGGTCACTTATCCATTGTTTCCTTTCCAAATTTTTAAAAAACCCCTTTTTACAGAAATTCTCCTCTCAACTTCTCTTGTGCCTTCCAGAAAAGCAAAAAAAGTTCAGCAGAACCAAGAGATTTCGTTAGATTTCGTCGAAAAACGGTCGCAACAGCGGCACAAATTTTCTTTTCACTTTGCCTTACACCAACCCCACCTCGACCCTTGGACTCTCGTTGTTTACCCCAAAAATACGCTCTCCAGCGTTTCCTTTCCTTTTCTTTTCTTTTCTTCTTTTCTTTATCGATGAAAAAAACTTTCAAAGATAAGCGCTCCCCCTCAATTTTTCTTTTCTTTCAAAAGACGAAAAGATCGGGGAAATCCCCGATCTTTTTGTCTTTGAAACGGGTTCTTTGAGATTTTGCACATTTTAGCAAAGGATATCTATGAGTTTTTCGGTGACACAGAGCTTTCTGGAACGCACAGAAAGAAATCTTAGAGCTATTAGAATCCTTAGAATTATTTGAACAAAACACTTTGTGTACTTTGTGCTCGAAATTGTGGAAACGCACGGTTTCTCGTGCAATTCGCAAAGAGTGGCTCTGATTTTTTTAATGAAATGTGCTATCTGGAGTGCACAGAGAAGAGCTTTCTCGAAAAAGTACTGTAAAAATGAACATAGAGATATTGTAAGTAGAGTTGTACAGGGTTACGGTAATAGATTGGGTTACCATTTAATTCAATTTTTTGGTAAGCAGCTGATTCAACTGGCTCATAAGTCCCTGTGACATCCAGATAGATCAAAAAATTGTTTTAATCAACTGAATATCTCTTAATCAAGGAGATACTGTAGGCAAAAGATCGGGCTACCGTACTCCTAATCCAATTTTTTGGTAAGCAGCTGATTCAACTAGCTCACAAGCTTCTGTGACATCCAGATAGATCAAAAAATTGTTTTAATCAGCTGAATATCTTTTAATCAAGGGGGATACTGTAGGCAAAAGATCGGGCTACCGTACTCCTAATCCAATTTTATGGTAAACAGCTGATTCAACTGGCTCATAAGTCCCTGTGACATCCAGATAGATAAAAAAATGGTTTTGATCAACTGAATATCTTTTAATACAGGAGATACTGTAGGCAAAAGAGATCGGGCTACCGTACTCCTAATCCAATTTTTTGGTAAGCAGCTGATTCAACTGACTCATAATTTTCTGTGACATCCAGATAGATCAAAAAGCTCTTTGGTTTGCTTGGTTACTTTCTTATATTGAGTATACAGTTGCCGTAAACTTGCTATATCCAGAAAAGCTTTTTTTCGACTGGTTGTCTGTTTGGTTGCCGCTTAAAGACCGTTTTCCCCTCCCTCGGCCAATCGCTTTCATGGCCGAGTGGTTAGCGCTTTCGTTTACCAATCACACGAGCCCGGGTTCGGCCCCCGAGGCGGGGTGGTGCACACAGAGTCTCGTTGTACTTCTCGATAAGTGCCGCGTGCTGAAGCTGTGCCATAGTGAACGGAGTGCCTTACCAGTCGAGAGATCTAT